TAAGGTGGACAAGAATGGCCTCACGAGTGAAGACAACTCCAAAGCGCGACAATTGGCGTTCGATAGCGACGGCGACGAAGACTTTATCACATCATTGAAACAGTTCTTCGAGTCTCAACTGGAGTCCGATGTGTGGCAAATACGTGAGACCACTGTTCAGGGCGTGGCTAAGCTGTTGATGCACTCGAGGCTGTATTCGCCGGAACTGTTGTCTAAAATGATTGTCATTTGGTTCACACCCGAAGAGAAGCAAGAGATTGTCCAATTCATTGGCGACTTTCTACGGCTGTACGCGTTGGCCGAGTCTCAGGGCGTGATTGTCGGCCAGTCGGCCCTTCAGGACTCATTCCTGCCCACACTTGAGATCCTATACAGACAACGCCGAGAATCACCGCCGAAGCGGATCAACGCCGAGAATCTCATCAAATTCTTCCTGAATCTCATCGACGACGACAGTCACCAGGAATTGGCCAAAGATCTGGCGAAGCGTATTGTCGAGTGCGACCAAACGCGCACCAAATTCGCCGAAGACTACCTCCTGCTGGCCGTCACTCATCTCAATCTGGTCTCGATGTCCAACAAAGACCTGAAAGCGTTCGGCGAGAATATGGAGAAAATTGCCCTCAAATTTGAGACATCGAAGTCGAAGGCAGTGAAGAAACGGTTGGTGTCTATCGTGAAAAAGATTGAGAACAGAGGCCAACAGTTGAGCGCAGACACCGCCTTCGAGCAGGACTTCGAGCCCATTGACGATATCGACGACACGTTGGACCAGACGTCGGCGGCTGACGTGACGCCGCCTCGCGTTCTCGGCATTCATACGAACACTACCGCCGATGAAAGCGCGGACCCACTCGTCGACGACGAGGGAGAAGAGGGACAGAACACGGCGACGGCGGCCAACGATTCGGACGCCGAGAGTTTCAACACGTGTCCCGAGAGTCAGAGTCCGCCGCAAAAGCGACGCCGACTGACCACCGATGGCGAGTCGTTCTTCGACACTAACGAACCCGATTCGGTGCCCAACGGCCTCGAGAGTCATCCGCTCTTCGATGAGGTCAACGACTTGGAGACCAACACTTCTGAACTCAGTTTGAATGAATCCATGGTTGAAGTCAGTGCCGAACCCGTGGCTGAAGTCAGTGGTGAAACCGTTGGCGAAGAAACTGCTGAACCCATGGCTGAAGACAGCGATGAAGCCGTGGTTTCGACCGTAACGGTCGGCGCGGAACCGACGAATGAAAGCACCAGTGAATACGTAGAGTCCTCCGAAGCAACCGGCGCTGAGATCATCGATCAAACCGCTGATGAATGCATGTTATCAACCATTAGTATCGGTGCCGCCACTGCCGACGAGGACCCGAGTCCAGCGCCCGATCCCCGATTGGACGACCCCTTCATGACTGTTGACTAATCAGTGATTAGTAATCACACACTTATATATTATTTTATCATTTTTTGACTGTATATAACATTTTGATTTATAATATATTTTCCTAACAATCATAAAGTATTTACTTATGATTTATTGTTAATTTTTTTATCACAACCTTTTGTTAATATTAGTTAAAAATTTAATTACTTTTATAACTTATATATTACTCTGACTATCAAATAGTGTCTAAACCTCTCGAATCTGTACTTAATTTTAGTGTTATTTCAATGTATTGTTGAAATTGTTTAAGAAGTTAACAAAATAAATAATTTCACAATTATTAATGTTTTTCTACTGAAAGTAATTATGATTTTTGTGTTCACTTTGTTATCGATTGGTCTCTGGCTTTAAATCTGTATTTTTAGCCACAAAAGAGAAGTTTATTTTTTGATCAATACTTTTATTGTAATGTAATTTTTATTTTTGTTTTCATTTCAAATGATATGATACTATACGAGAATACCTGTGCCGCACAGGTATGTGTTTATGAGCGTCTCTCTCACTCACTCTCACCTAATTAAAGGTGTAGTCTTTTGAATGCATTATTTATATCGCAGAAAAACACATTACAAATAACTAATGAAATGATACCTAAAATAAATTAATGACTTCTCACTAAAAATAGGGCTCAAAAATAAAGGTCAAGAATATTCTTGAGCCGCGATTCCCAACAGAATCGCCAAATATATGCCACGATTTATAATACAACAAAAGGTGTGATTTTTATTTCCAGATATAATTATATTATTTGATGATTAATTACATTATTAATTATTAATATAGTATTTTTTCATAACAGGTTTTATAGCGATTATAAATTGATTTAATTTATACTAAAAAGGTTTTCGCCGTAAATAAAAACTCGTAAATCAAATCATAACAAAAATAGTCATTAAAATAATTGATAACAATATGAATGTTGAGGTAATTAGTGGCCATAATTCACATGAAAAGCTCACAACAAATCTCTCTGTAATAATGCATATGAAAAACGACGGGAAGTGAAACGAATGGACTTCTTGTGGTAAAACTCATCGAACTTTCTTCAAAATTCTGTTCACTTGAAAGACAACGTCTTCGTGAGGAACGGACAGCAAGTGTTGCAATCGTTTCAACAGTATTTCTGTCGACTCGAAGCCATAGATGGCTGAGTAGAGGGTCTCCGGCGACGAGGCCATCACGCAATTGGTGGACGAGTTTCGCGACCAGAATCTGAGGGCCGATCGCGTGTTTAGCGTATCGATGAATGTGGAGAATGTGTTTCTGTGGCGATATTTATGCCAATTCTGCAAAACAAATGGCATCGAAAACAAGGATCTGAAGGCAGCGACTGTTGACATAAGTGTTACCCATTCTATCGCTGATCCCATTGTCAACGGCGAGCAGACAATACAACAATCGATGGCTACGAGCGATGAGATGCCGATCGTTGATAATCCTATCGTTGATAATCCTATCGTTGATAATCCTATGGTTGATATACCTATCGTTGATATACCTATCGTTGAAATGCCTATCATTGCCGACGTGTCACAAACCAATGATGAAACCGAAGTACAAACCACTGTTGATTTGTTTGATCTATTAGTTCCAGACGTTCCCATATTCTGCGCTTACCTCGAAAAGTGAATCCATTTTATTACATAATAGACATGTATTTTATCATTAATTATGTTTGCTTTAAGATATGTACACAATGTCACCGCTCAACACCTGACCATCGCTGACGCACTCGACTTTGAATTTATTTTCAATCAATTCATGAAAGTGTCGCTACTTTTAGACATTGGAGACGACGCCCAAAGGTGTGCCATTAAAGAGATATTAATTTTGCATAGAATTTGACTAATAATTGCTTTTATTACAGAAAAATTTTGGTGCAAACAATGCGCTCAATACTGATTGACAATCAAATCGGCGACAAATTTCACGGCTATATCACTCCAGTGATGAAATGTTTGGCCACAAACGGTTTCACCGATGGTAACGCTTATCTAGACTTTACGGTCGAAATTTAATCGCTGTATAAGCGGTCGTAACTCAGGTGTCGGCTACTCTTGCTCAGCTATCGGCTACTCTGGTTAGCACTTGAGCTTCTGTTCGCTTTGTTTAACTTGCTTCTCAACAGCTTTACCTTTGTTCAGTTGGAGGACATGGAAGCCGACGGCCGGACAGAAGAGGCGCCAGAGTTGGCCGACAAGATTAAGACCGCCGAAGAAGAGGTGAATGGTATTAGAGACCGGATTGCGGCCAATACTTCACTGTTATCGCAATCTTCGCAGACATCACTGCAATCAAAGAGTTTGCCGTCATTTGCGGTTTGTGTGCCTTTTGTTGGCTTTTAAGGAGACTCTACTTTATTGTGATATTTTACTGATATAACCAAAGAATTAACGATTAATTAACCACTCTTTAGGATCACCCGAAGTCATTGATGAGCTGTTTGCAAGTGTTCTCCAGTTGTCTGGAGTTCGGCAACTATACCGAAGTGAATGCCGTAATGCAAACACATATTGAGAAAGTTGTCAGTATTTGTCCTAATATTCCTCCGCAGTCTGTTCTGTATGTAATGAATTAATACCCGATTTGTTTCATCTCTCGTATCCCGTGTTTAGTGTTTACCCGGTTTTATGAACGATAATATATCCGTACGACGAGTGGCCACACGTTGTTTGGGTTTGGTTTGTCTGACGAGTGCTCAATATTTCAAGAAATATTTGCATTTTTTGATTGAAGTAATGAATCATTTTTGTTATAAAAAAAGAATGAATTTATATTTTCATATCTAATGCTATTTTTGCGGTTATTTTCAATAGATTTTCCTGAAAGACATCGAAGAGATTAAGATAATCTCATTGCAGAGCATATTTGACTCGCTTTGCGAACACGGGATCACTATATTCGACGATAAGGTGGACAAGAATGGCCTCACGAGTGAAGACAACTCCAAAGCGCGACAATTGGCGTTCGATAGCGACGGCGACGAAGACTTTATCACATCATTGAAACAGTTCTTCGAGTCTCAACTGGAGTCCATAAGGTGGACAAGAATGGCCTCACGAGTGAAGACAACTCCAAAGCGCGACAATTGGCGTTCGATAGCGACGGCGACGAAGACTTTATCACATCATTGAAACAGTTCTTCGAGTCTCAACTGGAGTCCAATGTGTGGCAAATACGTGAGACCACTGTTCAGGGCGTGGCTAAGCTGTTGATACACTCGAGGCTGTATTCGCCGGAACTGTTGTCCAAAATGATTGTCATTTGGTTCACACCGGAAGAGAAGCAGGAGATCGTCCAATTCATTGGCGACTTTCTACGGCAGTACGCGTTGGCCGAGTCTCTGGGCGTGATTGTCGGCCAGTCGGCCCTTCAGGACTCATTCCTACCCACACTTGAGATCCTATACGAACAGCGAAGCGAAACACCGCCGCCGAAGCGGATCAACGCCGAGAATCTCATCAAATTCTTCTTGAATCTCATCGACGACAACAGTCACCAGGAATTGGCCAAAGATCTGGCGAAACGTATTGTCGATTGCGACCAAACGCAGACCAAATTCGCCGAAGACTACCTCCTGCTGGCCGTCACTCATCTCAATCTGGTCTCGATGTCCAACAAAGACCTGAAAGCGTTTGGCGAGAATATGGAGAAAATTGCGCTCAAATTTGAGACATCGAAGTCGAAGGCAGTGAAGAAACGGTTGGTGTCTATCGTGAAGAAGATTGAGAACAGAGGCCAACAGTTGAGCGCTGACACCGCCTTCGAGCAGGACTTCGAGCCCATTGACGATATCGACGACACGTTGGACCAGATGTCGGCGGCTGACGTGACTCCGCCTCCCGTTCCCGTCATTCGTACCGACACTACCGCCGATGAAAGCGCGGACCCACTCGTCGACGAAGACGGAGATGAGGGACAGAACACGGCTGCGGAGGCCAACGATTCGGACGCCGAGAGTTTCAACACGTGTCCCGAGAGTCAGAGTCCGCCGCAAAAGCGACGCCGACTGACCACCGATGGCGAGTCGTTTTTCGACACTAACGAACCCGATTCGGTGCCCAACGGCCTCGAGAGTCATCCGCTCTTCGATGAGGTCAACGACTTGGAGACCAACACTTCTGAACTCAGTTTGAATGAATCCATGGCTGAAGTCAGTGCCGAACCCGTGGCTGAAGTCAGTGCTGAAACTGCTGGCGAAGAAACTGCTGAACCCATGGCTGAAGACAGCGATGAAGCCTTGGTATCGACCGTAACGGTCGGCGCGGAACCGACCAATGAAAGCACCAGTGAATACGTAGAGTCCTCCGAAGCGACCGGCGCTGAGAATGTCGATCAAATCGCTGATGAATGCATGTTATCAACCATTAGTACCGGTGCCGCCACCGCTGACGAGGACCCGAGTCCAGAACCCGATCCCCGATTGGACGACCCCTTCATGACTGTTGACTAATCAGTGATTAGTAATTTTATACTTATATATTATTTTATCATTTTTTGACTGTATATAACATTTTGATTTATAATATATTTCCAAAACAATCATAAAGTATTTACTTATGATTTATTGTTAATTTTTTATCACAACCTTTTAGTTAAAATTAGTTTAAAACTTAATTACTTTTATAACTTATATATTACTCTAACTATCAAATAGTGTCTAAACCTCTAGAATCTGTACTTAATTTTAGTGTTATTTCAATATATTGTTGAAATTATCTAAGAAATTAACAAAATAAATAATTTCACAATTATTAATGTTTTTCTACTGAAAGTAATTATGATTTTTGTGTTGACTTTGTTATCGATTGGTCTCTGGCTTTAAATCTGTATTTTTAGCCACAAAAGAGAAGTTTATTTATTTTTTGATCAATACTTTTATTGTACTTTTATTGTAATGTAATTTTTATTTTTGTTTTCATTTCAAATGATATGATAGTATACGAGAATACCTGTGCCGCACAGGTATGTGTTTATAAGCGTCTCTCACTCACTCTCACCTAATTAAAGGTGTAGTCTTTTGAATGCATTATTTATATCACAGAAAAACACATTACAAATAACTAATGAAATGATACCTAAAATAAATTAATGACTTCTCACTAAAAATAGGTCTCAAAAATAAAGGTCAAGAATATTCTTGAGCCGCGATTCCCAACAGAATCGCTGAATATATGCCACGATTTTAATACAACAAAAGGTGTGATTTTTATTTCCAGATATAATTATATTATTTGATGATTAATTACATTATTAATTATTAATATAGTATTTTTTCATAACAGGTTTAATAGCGATTATAAATTGATTTAATTTATACTAAAAGGGTTTTCACCGTAAATAAAAACTCGTAAATCAAATCATAACAAAAATAGTCATTAAAATAATTGATAACAATATGAATGTTGAGGTAATTTGTGGCCATAATTCACATGAAAAGCTCACAACAAATCTCTCTGTAATAATGCATATGAAAAACGACGGGAAGTGAAACGAATGGACTTCTTGTGGTAAAACTCATCGAACTTTCTTCAGAATTCTGTTCACTTGAAAGACAACGTCTTCGTGAGGAACGGACAGCAAGTGTTGCAATCGTTTCAACAGTATTTCTGTCGACTCGAAGCCATAGATGGCTGAGTAGAGGGTCTCCGGCGACGAGGCCACTTGTTTCCATTTCGACAACTCTTCGTTCAATTTGTTTCGCTTGTCTTCGAGTTCACGATTGGTCTCATCGGCTATCGACTCGTTCTCATCGGCTGTGGACTCAATGCTGGCGAATATGTCGCTAATGATTTCGACCGTAAAGTCTAGATAAGCGTTACCATCGGTGAAACCGTTTGTGGCCAAACATTTCATCACAGGAGTGATATAGCCGTGAAATTTGTCGCCGATTTGATTGTCAATCAGTATTGAGCGCATTGTTTGCACCAAAATTTTTCTGTAATAAAACACAGCAATTATTAATCAAATTCTATGTAAAATTAATATCTCTTTAATGGCAAACCTTTGGGCGTCGTCTCCAATGTCTAAAAGTAGCGACACTTTCATAAATTGATTGAAAATAAATTCAAAGTCGAGTGCGTCAGCGATGGTCAGGTGTTGAGCGGTGACATTGTGTACATATCTTAAAGCAAACATAATTAGTGATAAAATACATGACTATTATGTAATAAAATGGACTCACTTTTCGAGGTAAGCGCAGAATATGGGAACGTCTGGAACTAATAGATCAAACAATTCAACAGTGGTTTGTACTTCGGTTTCATCATTGGTTTGTGACACGTCGGCAATGATAGGCATTTCAACAATAGGTATATCAACGATAGGTATATCAACGATATGATTATCAACGATAGAATTATCAACGATCGGCATCTCATCGCTCGTAGCCATCGATTGTTGTATTGTCTGCTCGCCGTCGACAATGGGATCAGCGATAGAATCGGCAACACTTATGTCAACAGTCGCTGCCTTCAGATCCTTGTTTTCAATGCCATTTGTTTTGCAGAATTGGCATAAATATCGCCACAGAAACACATTCTCCACATTCATCGATACGCTAAACACGCGATCGGCCCTCAGATTCTGGTCGCGAAACTCGTCCACCAATTGCGTGAACTTTGTTTGCGACGACTCTTCGCCAATCACTTCCCGATTCAAGTGTTTGAAGTAAATGTCAAGCATTTTCTCAATCAAATCGATGTCGGTTTGAATGTCCAAAGCGATCAACAATTGGATCAGATTATTGTCACAACTCTTGACCCACGCGGGGATCAGAACCGATTCGACCACTTTGCGTACGGCCGCACTCCGGTCTTTCAGACCATTCTTCAGTATTGTTAGCCTTTGCTCTATTGTAAAGCATTTGATCGCAAGTTTGTCAGCGATTTGTATGTATGCTATCAATCAATGGTAAGAAAAAAAGGTATAATTAACTCATTTAAATCGCATTGAATTGAAAATTTTGGGCAAAAAATGCCGATTAATACCAGATTTTCGTATGAAGTCTTTAATATCACGCGTGGAATCGACAAAACAGGCCAAACTCTCGGTCGACGGCGCCATCACTTTCAGACAATTATGTCGAACCTCGTGGTCGGGATCGGACTTCAGATGGAAATGAATCGCTTGAATGACCAAATCGTTGGCGTCTGTGGTGTTCTGGAAGCGATGCAACGCGAGGACAGCCGCCGCCCTAACGTTGGCCAAACGGTCAACACTGCGGTCGAGCAGCGCTTTGCGTATCTTCTCGTAGATGTCTTCGCTAACGTCCAGCAACTCGTCAAAGAGTCTGCGCACGAAATTACACGAATTGATCCGACACTCGACTTTGGCGTTATTCATATACGGTATGACCACATCGTCGAGCATAGCGTCGATGAACTCGTGCCGCGCCTCGTCGTCTTCGTCGCTGGTCATCATCAGAAAGCCATCGCCGGCGCCGTTGGCCGCAGCCATACCGTTGATAGCGGTGGCGTCCGGTGTGGCCGTGAATGTCAGCAGATATCGCACGAAGAAGTCAATGCTATTGGAGGCGTGTGGCGACCGGTTGTCCGGCACCCATAACGTGTACTTCAGATTGCGGACCAACTCCTTGTAATAGTCGGTGATGGACTCGTTGGTGACCGAGTAGTGGGCCTGCAGTCGGTTCAGCCGTTGCAGACACTCCGGGTGTCGATCCACGCGCTGCGAGTCGTCAAAGATGGCGCGCATCGTGTCCTCCACCACAGCCACGGACGCCGACTTCGCCGACGCTTTGCGGCCACTCTTCGGTGCCTTTGGCGGTGGTTTCGGTTGCGGTGTCTGTTGTGGTGTCACTCGCGGTGTCTTCGGCTGAGGCAGTGGTCGTCGTTGCCGTTTCGGCTGCGGCTGCGGTGGCGGCGGATCCACCGCTTCTTCGCCGACCTTAAAGTCGCGCAACGCTTTCGGTCGCTGTCTTTGTCTCTGCGGTCGACCACTGCTGGGGGTCTCCGCTATCGGTTCCGTTGTCGTCGGCGGCGGTGTTGTTGTCGGTGGCGGTGAAGACATGGTTGCGATATAAGTGCGGATCAAATCATAGCAAACAAACCATTCATTGGTTTTTCAAAAATCATAACAAATACTCAAAACATCTCTGTTTTTGTGCGCTTTTATCTATTCCATAAATAACGTAACGATTTTATTGTCCCCGACATGTGTTCACCCCTTTGTGTTTTGCTGACAAACCCCTACCTTTCACTCCCAAAACCACTGTTTCTAATATCGGACGTTATTGTTGTATTTGATGGCGGCTTAAAGTGTGGTTGAATTGTATGGCTGTCTATGTGTTTTATGGGAAAGATGTGGTAATGTTTTAGCCCAATGTCAGCTTTTTTTAACCTTATTTAATCTAATTTGTTATATCAGATTACCATGCTAAGTTGGTAACCCACTTTTACATTGATTCTTTTTTATGCGATTGTATTATAATGTTTTGCTATCATAGTAATTTTATTATAATTAATTAATCAACATGAGTTTAGTTTCCCAAAGTTTTTATCATGTTATAATTTACGCTAAACTAATTGAACAAGGAGATTTTATTATAATAATTTATATTGTTTAACAAATAAAATATGTTTATTGTCAAAGTGAGTGTTTAGCGCAAAATTTAGCTCTTGATTGGGCTCACTATTAGCCGGCTATCAGTTTTAAACACTTGACTTAATAAGTCTACACAACTTAATAGGATTCACAAATCAATACATGTATTGTTTGTATTCATTGATTGTCTTATCAATTAATATAAGACTTGAAATTATTAGTTGTTTTCAGTTTGAAATGCATTTATTGATTTGATAACAATTGTATCGACAAATCAATGTTAGGCTTCACTTTCACCGTTTAATTGTCTGATTGATTGCATTAAAGCCACTGTTAATGCCGTTAATGTCTGAAAGCAATTACATATTTGATTAGTTATTTAGTAGATATTAAAAGTGATTAATTGTGCTGTCGATGGCCTCATCCCTCGTATAAGTGTTTAATTTTATTACAAATGCATTCAATTTGTTAGATTCGACCACTTTGCGTACGGCCGCACTCCGGTCTTTCAGACCATTCTTCAGTATTGTTAGCCTTTGCTCTATTGTAAAGCATTTGATCGCAAGTTTGTCAGCGATTTGTATGTATGCTATCAATCGATGGTAAGAAAAAAAGGTATAATTAATTCATTTAAATCGCATTGAATTGAAAATTTTGGACAAAAATGCCGATTAATACCAGATTTTCGTATGAAGTCTTTGATATCACGCGTGGAATCGACAAAACAGGCCAAACTCTCGGTCGACGGCGCCATCACTTTCAGACAATTATGTCGAACCTCGTGGTCGGGATCGGACTTCAGGTGGAAATGAATCGCTTGAATGACCAAATCGTTGGCGTCACTGGTGTTCTGGAAGCGATGCAACGCGAGGACAGCCGCCGCCCTAACGTTGGCCAACCGGTCGGCGCTGCGGTCGAGCAGCGCTTTGCGTATCTTCTCGTAGATGTCTTCGCTAATGTCCAGCAACTCGTCAAAGAGTCTGCGCACGAAATTACACGAATTGATCCGACACTCGACTTTGGCGTTATTCATATACGGTATGACCACATCGTCGAGCATGGCGTCGATGAACTCGTGCCGCGCCTCGTCGTCTTCGTCGCTGGTCATCATCAGAAAGCCATCGCCGGCGCCGTTGGCCGCAGCCATACCGTTGATAGCGGTGGCGTCCGGTGTGGCCGTGAATGTCAGCAGATATCGCACGAAGAAGTCAATGCTGTTGGAGGCGTGCGGCGACCGGTTGTCCGGCACCCATAGCGTGTACTTCAGATTGCGGACCAACTCCTTGTAGTAGTCGGTGATGGACTCGTTGGTGACCGAGTAGTGGGCCTGCAGTCGGTTGAGGCGTTGCAGACACTCCGGGTGTCGATCCACGCGCTGCGAGTCGTCAAAGATGGCGCGCATCGTGTCCTCCACCACAGCCACGGACGCCGTCTTCGCCGACGCCTTGCGGCCACTCTTCGGTGCCTTTGGCGGTGGTTTCGGTTGCGGTGTCTGTTGTGGTGTCACTCGCGGTGTCTTCGGCTGAGGGAGTGGTCGTCGTTGCCGTTTCTGGGGCTGCGGTGGCGGCGGATCCACCGTTTCTTCGCCGACCTTAAAGTCGCGCAACGCTTTCGGGCGCTGTCTTTGTCTCTGCGGTCGACCACTGCTGGGGGTCTCCGGAATCGGTTCCGTTTGGGTCGGTGGCGGTGCTGTCGGTGGCGACGGCGGCGGTGTTGTTGTCGGTGGCGGTGAAGACATGATTGCGATATAAGTGCGGATCAAATCATAGCAAACAAACCATTCATTGGTTTTTCAAAAATCATAACAAATACTCAAAACATCTCTGTTTTTGGGCGCTTTATATCCATTCCATAAATAACGTAACGATTTTGTTGTCCCCCGACATGTGTTTTGCTGACAAACCCCTGCCTTTCGCTCCTAAACACACTGTTACTAATATCGGACGTTATTGTTGTAATCGATGGCGGCTTAAAGTGTGGTTGTATTGTATGGCTGTCTATGTGTTAATTTTATGGGAAAGATGTGGTAATATTTTAGCCCAATGTCAGCTTTTTAAACCTTATTTAATCTAATTTGTTATATTAGATTACCATGCTAAGTTGGTAACCCACTTTTACATTGATTATGTTTTATGCGATTGTATTATAATGTTTTGCTATCATAGTAATTGTATTATAATTAATTAATCAACATGAGTTTAGTTTCCCAAAGTTTTTATCATGTTATAATTTACGCTAAACAAATTGAACAAGGAGATTTTTTATAATAAGTTATATTGTTTAACAAATTAAATATGTTTATTGTCAAAGTGAGTGTTTAGCGCAAAATTTAGCTCTTGGTTGGGCTCACTATTAGTCGGCTATCAGTTTTAAACACTTGACTTAATAAGTCTACACAACTTAATAGGATTCACAAATCAATACATGTATTGTTTGTATTCATTGATTGTCTTATCAATTAATATATGACTTGAAATTATTAGTTGTTTTCAGTTTGAAATTGTAATGCATTTATTGATTTGATAACAATTGTATCGACAAATCAATGTTAGGCTTCACTTTCACCGTTTAATTGTCTGATTGATTGCATTAAAGCCACTGTTAATGCCGTTAATGTCTGAAAGCAATTACATATTTGATTAGTTATTTAGTAGATATTAAAAGTGATTAATTGTGCTGTCGATGGCCTCATCCCTCGTATAAGTGTTTAATTTTATTACAAATGCATTCAATTTGTTTTAAATTACTTTTAAAAACTATTAAATGAATAAAAGTAATAAATATTTAGGATAATTGAAATTTGGATATTGAGATAATTATAGGTGATATTTATCTGTTAATAACATGTTTAATATAAGTTAATTCAAATAGTTTTAGTTTTAAAATTAAGTTTTAAATTTAAATCGTTTTTATTATTTAATAATTTGCTAAATCTCTCTCTCTCTCTCTCTCTCTCTCTCTCTCTCTCCTTTTGATTGCATTTATTATCATTTAGAGAAACCTTTGGAGTACTCTCTCTCTCTCTCTCTCTCTCTCTCTCTCTCTCGTAATATCAATTTTTAACCCATAAAACTGTCAATAACTTAATGTAATAAAAATTTTAATCAAAAATTTATTCATTAAAAATTGAATTTTATTAAAAAAAACTATTTTAAGAATTTATTCGTCTAATCAATCAATAAAATGATTATAATTTATTAAATTTATGAAAAAACTAGCAATCGTTACATTAAATTGGATGCCGGTTAACCAATATGTTATTATTGGAAATTACATAACTATTTGATTGCCTATTAAAACATACCCTGAGCTCAGATTTGTAGACACAAAAAAATATAAGCAAAAAATAATAATTTTACAAAATTGAGACCAAAACTAATTTTTTTGTCGTTTATTTATCGCAAAACTATCGACCCTTCAAAACATGTGCACAGGATTTGTGTTTGATTTCATTAAAAGTTTTTTTTGTAAATATTTTCTCAGACTTGAATAAACAGCAAAAATAATTTTTGTTTGTGCTTTTTATTCAAACATTATATCTCTATATAAATTCAATATATTGTAATAATTACACAACATTTTTATTTATAAATAATTTATAACTAATACATACAGAGTATAATCGATAGTTTAAAAAATTATACACTAATCTATACTCTAAATAACGATTTATTGCAGTGTTTTTTACATACACTTAAAAATGTAATAGGGTATTTTTATGGCACAACAGTTTACTCCCAATTTGAACATCAAATACCGTTCACAACAACAGCACCAGTGAAGCAACTTTGTAAAAGTTGTTCACTTTAGATGAGAGGTCACTAATCAGGGGATGAATTAAAAAAATGCTGTCAAACGTCAATAATTTTTTGTGAAATAAGACTTACAAACACTGTTAGACAACATTTCTCTCTCTCTCTCTCTCTCTCTCTCTCTCTCTCTCTCTCCCTATTTAATCAAACCATTAAATCATTCATTGAATGAAAAAACTTGATTGAAAGGAGGATTTTTGTTGTTTAGTTGTATGAATGCGAGTGAATGTTAACCCCTTTTCTCCAACAATCCCTGTGGTTATGAGTAGTAATGCTTATCATTTAAAATACGATAAAATATAATTTTGAACTCTTTTTTATGCGAAATACTTATTTTAAAACTAAATTAATGACAATATTTCACATAAATTATAATAAATAATTATCATTGCATTTAAAGTTACATTATATATCGTGTACTCTACGCTATATTAAGTAACTAATAAATATTCTCCTAGCACAGTTCTCTCTCTCTCTCTCTCTCTCTCTCTCTCTCTCTCTCTCCACGAGTTTTCTACAAAATATTTTAATTAATTCACAAAATTATAAATATTTATATGTATTAATGCAATCAATGACTACAGAATTATTGAAAATGAATTATATATCCTATACTTTTAGCATTGGTTTGTCGTTTAAATTGCATTTTTGATA